GGGAAAAATATGGTAAAGAAAAATCCAAGGACAGGCATATTGTGCAAAGCAACATGCAAATACAAGTGCTATGAAAAATTTTGTGATATTGACTGTGCATCTCTCTTTTCTCAATACACTGTGCTGAAAAAATAATACTGAAAAAAAATGTATCTTTCAGAATTCATCACAGCAGAAAATGTCAAAAGAACACTAAAAAATCCAAACAAGACAAGAAGCACAACTTAGACCTATGTTCTACCTAAAGAAGGTACCAACATAATGTCCTCCAGACCGAGTTTCGATCACGGCAGCTAGTCTCAACGGAGACTAGCCATCTGCGCAGGACACGATTATAGTGTCCAAGTGTATGCGCAAGCACAGGTGCACTCTCTATTCCCTCACTCTCGTAGTCCGATGGGACGGTAATTCGATACGACCGGAGAGAGATCAGGCGCAGGACCAACGGTTTTGTATGCTTTCTGAGGCACTAAAACAGAAACAGATTGTCCTGGAAAGAACCAGCAAGAAACCTAGCGGTACTTTTGTAACGAAATTTCTTATCGGACGGTACGAATTTGGCGGATGCGGGCTAGGCGAGAAAAAGTGTAAGATTTTTCCGTCACGATCCCTTCTGACGTAGTATAGAGACGGCCATGGCGGCTATAAGGAAGGAGATGGAGTAATATCCATCTCCCTCGCACTTTTTCTTATCTTGCATTGAAAGAAATATTATTTTATTTTAAATGGCGCTTCATTTTAATAGACGCTATTACATAATTCATTTATTTGTATTTGTTAATCAATAATATAATATGTTTATCAATAATAACATACTACGAAAAGAACTTCGTTCCAACCAAGTGTTCCACGACACTCTCGCATGTTATTATTATTTTTAATAACAGCTTACAATCATGTATGTTACACAATTAACAGCACAAAACAAATTAAAAATAGCTTGGTGGCGTTTACCTCATTCCCAGGGGTAATTAATCCTTAATATTAACTAATATATTAACTAGCTAAAAGTAAATCTTTGTGGGGACTCGCGAGTCTATTAAAACGTTTTCCTAATAGAACTTTTACAAATTACGTCATTTTACTATTTCGAATTCGGTCGATTATATTGACACAGAGACCAATGTTCCGAAAAGGATAATCGTCTAGCCGAATTGAATTAGTTTCAAAGCGAGATCAAAACTTACGCTTAGTTATGATAAGTTATCCCTTGAAATATGTTATAATTATTTTTATTTGTGTCTTTCTTCATCTAGTTACGCTGATTTTTATTGTATTCAATAAACCGATATTAATTCATTGACCTTGAATGGTGTGCGAATAAACATTTAATTTTAAATCTTTAAGCCTGTACCTATTTTCTGTGAGAAAACTGTTTCTTAACTTGCAATTCAATAACTAAAAACACGTCAACCATTTTTCACGAATAAGAGTTGAGTAAATGCATTTACCTCATAGAGTATTTGTCTAATTATCAGGACAACGTCTTGTAAGTAACCTATCGTATTAATCAATAATCAATCAAGTCTTAAGTTATGAAATGAAGGAACAATGCAATCACCGCCACGATAAGGGTCAAATCAAAAAACAACCAAGCCGGATATGGTAGCGAGGACGCGAGATATCTACGAGTAGAACTGTGAAGCATGGTGCTTACAGTAAACTGTTCGAACTTGGTATTCCCAAATTGACTTGGAACCGCATTGATCTCATTTTATCTTACCTTACTTGGAAGAAATCAAATTCTTGCAATAAATTGTTAACACGCTGGAGATAAGAAATCTCTCGGATCATAAATCGATCGTTAGCTTCTAAAATTTGCCACAAGCAAAATCTATTTTAACATCTCCAGAGACGTAAAATCAAATAACTGCACGAAGTGATTTCAACATAAATGTACTTGATATGGTGTAAATTCTTAATTTGTATTATCCTCATCCTCACGACCTTTCACAAGTCCACTTCCAACTCACAGGCTTCCCCAAAGTAATGCCACAATTCACGATTCTAGTCACCTGCATCCATTTGCTTCCTACATCTTACCAGATTACGACATTCCATCAAATGGGGAGCCGTCCTATACTCTGCATACTGGGAGGCTGGCACTAGAATATTTATTCATTTTTAACATAATTAGCTGACTTCAGAATTGGTTAAAGCCTAGGTGAAATATTTTAAAGTAAAAATTAAATATATCATCATCATCGATCTCTCATCCATCATCATCACTACTGTCCATCAAAAGTCCACTTCGAAATATTATTTTTATAGAATAAGGGAAAGGGTGACAAACGAACACACAGTCTACCTGATCGTAAGCGGTTATTTGGCTTATGGGCTATGATATATATATCCTCGATTAAGAACCAAAATGCAGATACATCAGCTATAAAATTCCACTGACATACGACCCCTCCCGTTGTATGGAGATACATAAAACTATTTGTAGACAAAAATTTTGTATTGTGTTTGTAGTCGTACGTTGTTGCAATAAGTTGTTATTTTTATATTTAGAAGGCACGCTCGTAACTGTCTTCTGGTCATGTGTTCTCTTCCTAGATTATAATATTATAGTGAACCTAAAGGTCTATTCGGAATATTTTCGTTTCAAAGAGATTGTGGTGAGAGCCGTGGTGGCTCAGGGATTAAGCAATCACTGTAGATATCACAGCTATATAACATCCTCATCAAAACCAGCTATTATTGTGGTTGTAGCACGAGTGGGTCGGCTCGACCTGGGTAAGAGCACGCTCACAGAAAACCACCGTGAAATAGCAGCTTAATGCTGCTGTGTTTTGTATAGTAAGTGTAGAAAATCGAAGACCCTTTTGGGAAACGAGGAAACTACTGGAAACGAGGCATTACAGTTTAGACCTCAGGGGTGACAAAGCCACTACATTTTTATTCTTAATCGAGAATAGATATAGAATGATGTCTATGGGCCACTGCATCAACTTATCATCAAGTGATCTGTGACTGTTTGTCACCTTTATTCTATTAAAAAAAAATTGCAAATTTAAGTGTTTGTAATTCACAATCGACGATAGATGCACGGCCACTTACCATCAGATCATTGTGTGCTCATTTGTCTCCCGTACTCTAATATAAAAGAAACCGTTACGCTTGACAGGTTTATAATAGAAGTGCCAGACTAGCGAGGCGTCTGGCACATTTTGTAGCTTTTACATCTCCAAGACTGTATTGATTTTATAATACAGAACATGATTTGCGGCTAATCACACATATTATATTTATAAATTTTACCCTCATAAGAATGTACATGACCTCTTTATAATTAATCGTTTTTCAGAAATCAGTCCATGTCCATCATGTAGTGACCGTGAAGTAGCGGTGTAAGAATATCCCCTATCGCCTCATAAGGAGGCGACATAGGAAAACAAGCCAGGGGATAGGCAGCAGCGTCTTCGAAATATTTTTTATGGCATAAGGAAGACAAGCGAGCACACAGTCCACCTGATGGTAAGTGGTTGCTGTGGCCCATAGACATCCACACCTATAATCGTTTGCGAATCAAAATGCAGATGCGTTGTCAGCCATGAGGACTAAGATGGAATGCCTCTTTTCCAGTAAAAAAGGTCTCCGGTTTTCTACACTTACTAAACGAAACACAGCATTATAAGCTTCTATTTTACGCTGGTATTCTGTGAGAGCGTGGTCCTTCCCCGGTCGAGCCGACCCATTCGTGCTACAACTATACAATTAATATTGCTGCAACATGGTTCTACCACGTATAAATAATAAAACACAACAAATTAGTACAACAACAGTAAAAATTACAATTATAAAATAAAACTTCTTATATTTTTACTGCCTCATAAAGAGGCAAGGCTCCTTATGAGGCAATCTATTAGGCAATCTATTATAAGGCAAGGCAAGGCTCCTTATGAGGCAATCTATTTAGAGGTCTATGTTCAACAGTGGACTTTGATAGGCAGTAATTTTTTAGTACATCAATGGCTGTATTAATTAATAAACAGTCCGCTCCTAAACATGGATCTCCCAGTATCATTAAGACCTCTTAGTAGAGAGTAATTGTGTTCTGTGATTAAGACTATTTCATCCTTAGGATGTCGTGAATTACTAATAATTACCATTAAGATCTTATCGCCTACCAAGTAAAGTTAAGTTAGGACCTTTATAGATGCTACTAATAGCCACAGGCCTCCTCTCATTTTTGGAAGAGTTGTGGAGCAATTAGTCCACCTCTCTGCTCCAGTACATGTTGACGGACTTAATGTGTCTTCAAAATATATCATCTCTGACATACAAGGATCCTTGTGGTCCTTCATAGTCGAATACCTGGTAAACCGGCAATTAACATTGCATTAAACATTTTGCATTGGTACTAATGGGGATCCAATCTGGGTTTACCGCATACTGTGAAGTTTACGCCAAGCCCTTAAGCTACCACGGCCCACGTCTCCTACCAAGGCATGCATCAAACAGCCTAATTTTTACAGAGGCCCATGTTTAACAGTAGACTGTTTAATAAGTTAGTTATTTTTATAGTTACATGAGAATTTAGAACATCAGAAGTGTTCTTCTTTTTAAACCTGTAACAGTTCATTGCTGCTCAATATCTGGAACCTGCCAGACAGAAGGATTTTCCATAATAGCCACAATTCGTATCTCTGACCCTGCGCCTCGTCTATGGTCTGAATATACTACGAGTACTAATTGACGTTTTTACTGATATTTTACGATAGGTAAACCGCTAGTCTATCAGTCACCTTTAGAAAAATAAAACCGCCGTATCGATTGTTGTGTAGAATATGATAAAAAAAAGCCAGAACAGCAGAATAAAAACATATAAAACGAATTTATTTATAAAAAATAATGTATAAATTAACAATAACCTACGAAAGTAATAACTTAGTAATAACTTAAGGAACCTATAACATTTAATTTATATACACCTTAACCCTATATTTACAAACTTAATATTCGAAAATACTTGGATTTTGTCAAATACTTTTAAATTATATAGCTTTGATGCTTTGCTTCATATTACTCTTTAAAATTAAGTCGTTACTCGTCTTCTCTTCATTGAGGGATGTGACTAATACCTGAAAATTGTAAATAATATTAAAAACATTTAAATATATACACATTATTCTATTTTATTGGTATAACCTTCATTTTGTTTTTTAATATTTGTTTTTTAACTTATCCGTCTACATAAGCTTATAAGAACGGATTTGTTGACAAGCCGATTTGCTGGCTAGCTGCGTCATCGACGTATATATGCACATATTTTAAGCCTGGAGTGGATTTTAAGCCTTTAAATATGGCATGTCTGATATTTCTTGAAGAGATAGACTAAACGGGAAGGTGCAATAGATTATTTTACGTTACGTTGCCTTTACCTGGCAAAAATACTCATAGTACCCAGTATAAGAGAAGAAAGCCGATGCCATCTCTATATTTGTGTAAATAGGTAAGATGATATATAATTTAATGTGATATTAGCCTATTGCATTTATTTTAAACCTGTTAAATATCATAATAGCTGCATAAAATGTTGGTTAAATTTTCTAAAACACGTGGCGCTTCTGATGTTGCCCAAAGGGCTAATTTAGCATGATTTAAGGACTAATTTAACCTGACTATGACCAAAATTAATGGCTCGACGTGTGTTATAAAAAACAGAGTTGTTTATACTCATTGCTACAATGAAATTTTACTTGATCAAATTATTAATTTTATAGTCAATTGTGTGTTTTGATTTCCATTTCCATTTAGAGATTATGAGAATTATTATTCTTCGCTCTATTTTAAGATTAAAATGGATCAGCACAAATCAAACAGCTAACAAAATTAAATGCATAAATTAGTTATAAAGATTATTCCAAAAAAACACACAAACTTCGCCGTACATAAATGAACATTACATAAATGAACGTATTTTATGCTAAACGATGCCCAACTAGTTACGTATAGTTGACATAATTTCTTAAGCAGCTTCGCTCACTGAGAATATTTTACAGGCGCCATGGCTGCGTCGCAAGAGATACGCTACAAATTTAAAAAGTTTAAAATTTATATTAACAAGTTTTAAATATTCTTACTTCTAGTTTGATATTCTTGACTGGTATTCTCTCATCGTCTAATTCAGACAGTACCCTGTCCAACGTGTCGACAAGTCTGTCCGCGTCTTGCGTGGAAAATACCATGGGTGGTTTGAATTTCAACACGTTGCTGTCTGGTCCGTCGCGACTGATCAGAATTTTTTCTTCTCTCATCCTGTTTATGAAATATATATCATTACTTGTAATGACGACCTAGCTGGATTCAAGTTAAATAGAGATAGTAAGCATTTTTAACTGTGCAGAATGTATTGTTATGTTTAGGTATAAAAGTAAACTCGGAAGCAGTTCTGTGAAATTATAAAAAACATTAGAAACGTCCAGGCCCAGACACAGCTAAACCCACAAAAATTATTTGAAATTAGAGAGTACGCCTAACTACGGACTAAGATGGAATGCATCGTGCAATGCATCGAGTAAAAAGGATCTCCGGTTCTATGCACCCCCCATACGAAGCACAGAAGCAGCATAAAGTAAAAAGAAGCGATATTAATTAAAAATATATTATAATAATTACCTATTAACGATATGTTTCGCCTCCGCAGTCGCTGGGGTCCTTCTTTCTCTATCAGTCACTAATTCGACGCCCACAAAAAGTCCCCTGCCCCTAACGTCACCAACTAATCGATGCTTATGCTTTAACTTCTCGCACCGTGTCAGCAAATGGTTACCAACTCGCGTGGCACGCTCTAGAAGACGCTCTTCTTCGATGACATCGAGAACAGCGTTTGCAATAGCACATGACACCGGATTACCGCCATACTGTGATAGGAAAAAATTATTAAATCTATTCAGTTAGATACGTATTTGTTAATTAATGAATTTATGGCTTGTTTAAAATTGAACAGTATTCTGCAATCAATTTTGCTGCCTTTTGAAAAGAGGCTTTTCAAATATTTTGTTAAGTCTTAAAGGTTAGTCTGCACTTATATGTACTTAATAATTATTAACGTTAACTAAGAAACATATCATAGAAAACAAGAAGAATTCTTCGACTCAAATATTATTGCATGACTTAACTACGATATTGTAAAATAACATTTGAATAAATTATATTTTTAATAAAATAATTTCATCGATTGTTTTATAATTAAACTGTGTATTAGTAATTTATAAGTAAAATATGAGGAAGACAGGAAGACAATGTGTATAAAAGTATATGAAAAATTTTATGGTGAAGAGGAGCCACAGGCAGCCAAAAGGGAATTTTAATGTCTGATAGAAACGATGGAGAAGAAATATATATTTAAAATTGGTAACTGTGTGAGATACATTAATAGATTATTTTAATTATTTATCCTCTACAAAATGCTTTAACAATTGAGCGTATCCAAATTGGAGTCTTTGTAGAACACGCTTCACGATTTATGACTTAGTGACATAAAGTCGCTCGTAAATGGAGCGGCAAACTAAAAATTGGTGTTGCATTTCAGCGAATTTTTCTCGAGTGAATCTCTACGAGCAAAGTTTGCCGAAGAACTTATGTAACATATTAAAAAAGTTTCCTACAATTGATTCAATATAGTATCTAGTTGATTTTGAAGTCGAAAATTGGCTGTGATGCGTTCCAACTTCTTTCTTATTTTTCCTCTTGAATATATTTCTCATTTACGTAGTCACTTTATGATAGTAATACATTGTAAGATTGATATTATACAACCTTCAAGATGGAATATAGATTGAAATGGAAAATCTACATGTTCTGCAGTTTCATAGTCGTAAACATTTGTAATTTGCAAGAATAAGGGTGTAGTTAGGAAAACATTTAATACAACTACGCCTCTATTTTGCTGAGGTCCAACTTCGAGACAGCTTCAAAGAACAAGTTAACTAGTGGTCGGCGGAAAATATGTTTTCTTTAATAGAAAACTACATCGAAACTTTTACATTTTTCCTTCTTTTGACTAAATGATGAAAGTTTCAAAGTGGCTCATTACTGACGTTACTTCTTATACTTTGTTTTGAATTCTAATGACGAACTGAAGGAAAGTTTTGCTTTAAAGATATTATAAACAGTGGATGTGAATATTTTAAATATCCGGTTTTTAAAATGGCTTAAAGGAAGTACAAAGTTGTAAACTTATAAATGCATTCTTGTATTTTTCGCGAATAAAAAGACCTTATTATTTTAATTTTTTTTGGCGTTTCCCTACTTTCGGTTGAAAAAACATGGTCTTTCTCAACTTAAGCCATCTTTATCATCATTCATAAAACATGGTAAAAGCATATTAGTGAAAAGAGGAAACTTCAATGAACAAGTACAATATAATGAAAAATATTTTGTTGTGAATTAAAGCCTTTTTTTATATAGGATTAGGGTAACAAACGAGCACACAGTTCACCTGATGGTAAGTGGTTACTGTGGCCCATAGACATCTACATCTATCCTCCATTACGAATTAAAATGCAGAAGCGTTGTCACTCGTGAGGACTAAGATGGAATGCCTCAATTCCAGTAAAAAGGTCTCCGGTTCTCTACACTCACCATACGAAACACAGCAGCGTTAAGCTAACCTAAAAACCAATTGTGAATTGTTTCGAAGTGTTGTGAACCAAGAAAACCGGTGGTGGCTTTAGGTAAGCAATTTTAGATATTGAAAAGTAAATTTTGATCTACGTTTGACTTTATAAATGAAAGGTGAGGAAGTTGAAGCCAGAAAAACCCCCGCATTATTTAAATATAATCAAAGCCCCTGTGTTTACTTAAATATATACCTGATGAAGTAACAAAAAATTGATATTGCCCTCCGAATACAATCGGATTTGGTACTGCACGACTTCTTACACCAGTAACTGTAGCCACGTCTCAGTAAGCCTCATAATCATTTCCTAGCTTTTTGTATATCGACAGTATGTAAAATTAAGTAAAGTTACAATCTATATACGTCTCACTGCTGAGGCCTTCTCTCATTTTTAAGAGGATAATAGTCCGCCGCGCCACATGTCCTCGAAATATTTTATTTCACATATTTCACATTTTTTTTTGATCCTTTACCATATATCAGGTGGTAAATCAGCAATTATAACTGCAATTAACTATTCCATAAGTGCTGTCGGGAAAGGGCCATAGTTACTCAGGCGCTAACTTACGGCGAGAATAAATTTCGCATTACGAGACCTAGGTTCAATAAAGTAAAATAAAATTTTTAATTTAAAAGTACTTTTACCTATTATACAGGGTTATTTTGCAATAACCGGCCAAATTTGAAGAGAAGGCTCAGAACAAGTAATATAGGCGAATGGTGAAGAAAAATTAATTAAAAAATCTCAAACATTCTCTTCTTTTTATCTCTTAAATTCAAAATGCGAGGTAATGAATTATTTTAACTGATTGTCATTCATAAATATCTAACGCCTACTATTTTACTACGCACGCACACGTTCGTAATGGTCGATCGGTCGGCAAAAACGTTGTGAATTGAATCGCACACAGAGGAGCGCGCGTACGTGTAATTGTTGACCATAAATCACATTCAATTTGGGATAATTTCAAATAAAAGTAGAAGCCTTATTTACTCGTATTTTAATAAAATGTAATATAGGTATTTAATTATTTATTTATTTGAATTTAAATACAAAATTTGGCTACTATTTGAAAAGTAACCCGTATTTTATCGTCACGCTTTGGCTTTATTTTAAATATGAACGTACGTTATGTTCTTTTAGTAATTCTTAAAAGCTGTTTCATTTATGAATTGAATAATAGTTACCGTATTAAAATATTCAACTCCAGTATCGGCAAAGCTCTTTGCGATTTCCGGAGTAGTGATGACGGCAGCCACGGGGTGTCCATTTCCCATAGGTTTGCCCATTGTCACGATGTCAGGCACAACATCCTGAGTCTCGAACGCCCACATATGAGTTCCTACACGCCCGAAACCCACTTGAACTTCATCAGCAATACAAATTCCATCGGCTTCTCGAACATATCTAACAAAAGGAGTAAAATATCATTGTACTATTTAATATACACATAACATTAACTGATCGATTTAGTGGCAGTAATAACTATTACCTAAATAGTATTGCCTAAATTACTTTATAACAAAAAGTATCTACGTGGTTGAGCCACACTGGATACTGGTAATAGAGCTACAGCACGAAATGATCGGCCTTGTTCTTACAGAATACTGATGTAAAATAGCAGCATAACGCTGTGCTATGTTTCGTATACTTTACGACTGGAGACGAAGACCTGTATTGACACTGATAGTGTCATAGCATTTTTATTTTGATTCTTAATCGAGGATAAACGAAGTTTGCCAATGGGCCACAGCATTCACTTGACGTCAGATGGACTGTGTACTCTTGCTTGTGTGTACCGCTTACTTGTCACTCTTCCTTATATAAATAAATGTGTAGGTACCGTCACCGTTATAGCCTATTGAAGTCCACTGCTAAACATAGGCCTACCCCGTAGATTGCCTCATCATCATCATTATTTTAGTCGTTATTAGGAAGACGCTGCTGCTCATCACCTGACTTGTTTCCCTCTGTCGCCTCTTACGACACCCATGGGGTATTGGATATGCGTACACCGCTACTACACGGTATGCGTAACAAAATGCTTAAAGAGTGTAAGAGTAACTCTTTGAATTTTGAAGATACAAACTAGATATTACACATTTTTTTCATTTGGATCTCTGCTTGGTCTCAGTTAATATAATTTTAATTTTACATCTTTAATTAATCGACGTCACATAAACTATGCTACGTTAGTACTGTGGAATGTTATGTGTCAAATCAGACGTCTATATTAGAAGCATATTATTATCTATACATATTATAAATTTATATAAAAATCGTGTATTCGCGATTCATGCAAAAACTACTAAACTAATTTCCATGAAAATTTGTGCGTAGGCAGCAAATGACCGTGTATAACATATGGGCAACTTTTTATCCGATAACGGAACAGTGAAAAATGGTTATGTTTATCCCTTTTATTAAAGTTTATGGTAATTATAGCTGCTGATGATTCTATTAGTCAAATTGAGAATTTAGCTACACGTATAATAAATCTATAGAAAAGTGTGTATGTGAAAATGAAACCAATCAGTAAAGGCAGAATAACGTCTGCCGGGCGAGATAATATATAATTAGAAGTCACGGTAGAACATAGAAATGTTTCCATGTTCTACTAGTTCTACGTTTTAGAAATTTTCTTATGGGTTCTAATGCAATGAATAATTATATATTGCAACATGAGAATAACTGAATACCTAAATGTCATTATATACGCTTAATTATGAAAATTATCTTTAAAATAATATCTCCCTTATCTAAGGCAAAGTTCATGGGTGTATATTTGTATTTTAAAAATGTATTCTGATAACGTTTCTTTAGCAGGTAAGCTTGCATTCTATAATAAAAAGTCTACCCATTTATGTTGCCGAAAAGTTAATGTAAATGTAAATTAAAATATTAATGTAAATTTTTTAGTAAAAGTAAAATAAGGACTAACATATAGATATGCGTAACATATAGACACAACAACATAGATATGCGCAAGACCTTGTATTTCAAACACTCATGCGCTCATTTCAAAAATAGTTGGCTTAAAGAGTACTCAACACTAATTTAATATAAATATACAAAATTTGATTATATACAATATTAAAAACTATAACAAAACTAAAACTAGAAACTTAATTATCATATAGTCCTACTCCCCGCGGTATCGTGCCAAGAACGCTGGCTGCGTTTCTCCGTTGGATGGCTATACTTAGCCTTTGAGCGAGAAAAGAACCAGCCCTCTTATCACCAGCAGCAACGACTAGCCGCGGATGGAGTTCCTTTAGGAACTTCACCGCACGTGGACCCCACGGACCGATAGTCTCTACAGCAAATAGCACAAATATGTAGTCATCTTTCAGAGTACTCTATTATATTTGCTAGATATATAGATATTTGCGCCACTTACTCAGTTCAGCTGCCTCTGGTGCCGCCACGGCTCTAAACAAGGTACCCTGAGATGAGAGGCTGCCAGAGTGTATACGCAAGTAGCATCCCACACTAGGGCTTTACCTCTCTTTCTCTTTAACTTTTTTTTATAGAAGAGGGGGCAAACGAGCATGCGGCTCACCTGATGGTAAGTGACTACCGCCGCCCATGAACAACCGCAACACCAGTGGAATTGCAGATGCGTTGCCGGCCTTTTAGAAAGGTGTAAGCTCTTTTCTTGAAGGTCCCTAAGACGTATCGGTCCAGAAAATTCGCTGGTGGTAATTGATTCCACAAGGAAGTTGTGCGAGGGAGAAAACTTCTTCTAAATCGCACAGTGGTGGACCGCCAATCATCCAGATGGTATGGATGGTAACGCGAGTTTAGTCGCGATGTGCGATGGTGAAATTGAGCGGCTGGAATTAGTCCGAGCAATTCCTCAGAGCACTCCCCATGATAGATGCGATAAAATACGCAAAGAGATGCAACATCTCTACGCAGTGCCAGTGTATCGAGTCGATCAGAAAGAACTCGGTCGTCGACGATTCGAACCGCTCTGCGCTGGATGCGGTCAAGTGGAAGGAGCTGGCACTGGGGCGCTCCGGCCCAGAGATGAGAACAATATTCCATGAGGGGCTGAACTTGCGCTTTGTAAAGTTGCAAGCGATGTGCCGGCATGAAATACTGTCTCGCTCTGCTGAGCAGAGCTTTTTAGAGGCCAATTTGTCCTTCCCTTCCAAGTGACCACGAAACTGTACACTATTCGATATGTCGACGCCAAGGATTCCGATACCAGCTGAGGCAGCAAGGGGAGTGCCTTGAAACTGAGGAGATACGACAAAGGGGTTCTTTTTAGCGGTAAACGTGCAAACTTGTGTCTTCTGGGGATTGAACTGGACTAGACCTCTATAAATTGTCCAAATTCATTTGACCTTAAAATACTTTTAACTTCTCTTTTGATTTTCCTTCAACGCCGAGGACGTATTTCATTTCGCCGCTGCAGGCCGCGGGCTCGAATCCCGCACGTATCAAATATACAAATTTATTAAAAGATATGTCACGTGCTGCATATTATAGCTGCAGCACGAATAGATCGGCTCTATCGAGTAAAGTTCACGCTCGCCTCCGCCTATATTACTATACTGTTTTAGGCTCGAACAAAACATAAGCAAGATCACATCATCAGTGTTTCGAAAGGTGTCAAGAACCGGAAACCCTTTTTTACTTGTAACGAGACATTCCATCTTAGTCCTCAGAGTTACAAAGCACTTGTATTTAGATTTTGATCGAGGATAAAAAATGTCTATAGACCATAACATTCACTTGCATTCAGGTGGACTGTGTGCCCCTTCTCAGCCTCGCTTCAATAAAAAATCATTATCGTAATATAAACAATATAAATGCTACAAAAGTTCATATTCTCTACTAATATTATAAATGCGAAAGTGTGTTTGTTGGTTTATCCTTCCCTTGATTTCATGTCTTACACACATACACACATACAACGAAACAAAGGTTTTCGACATGATTTTTTACTAAGTGATTTTCAAGGACACTTTTTATCCCGGAAAATGCACGGTTCCTGCGTATCTCTAAAGCCTAATTTGTATTTACCTATTTGTACGTGTTGGTATAGCACATTGGCTGTAATTTTAGAAATGATGTCGTTTTCCGGTCGTGCAGAAGATAGTTCTATACATAAATCTACATAGTCACGCTATTCATGCAAAGTCCGTTCTATTGACCTATTGTCAATTTTGACACTATCATATTACCCGTGAACGATAACAGTGATATTTTTAGTACACTACGGAATTAGCTAACGTAAGATGTAAAGATAATAGTTTATTTTAATTAATAATTCTTTAATAGCCCATGTTCAGCGGTGAACTTGATAATGACTTGAACTGTTGACTTAATGATAATTATGATATTGTAAAAAAAACGGCGCATAAATATAAATTTTTATAAATTCAATTTCTTACACGTGCACATAAATCCGCCTTGATAGCTTAGTAGTTATTGCGTAAACATGACCGAGTTTATTTCACATAATATCATCATTACCGATAGCTAATAACCAACCAGATACCGTTTTAAAGTTTTTTTTTATATATATAATATTAAAATATATAGTTTATTACAAACGAGTTTACAGCCCACCTGATTCTGTTCATCTGTTTTAAGTTTCTCAAATCACATATTCTTCAAAACTTAAAAAAGAGTGTAAGTACAACCAGCACAAGTCACTGGCTATGATTATATACCTATCTGAGACGACCTCCATCAATGCTGGCCGTACTTGCCTTACAAATAAAAATACGTATCCTCAGTTTTACAGAGAAAGTTTGTACCTAAAGTAACTTTATAGAAACATTTTGTGACTTGAAATTAAGTAATCTATATTTCTCCAGGAACAGTCATAAAAGTAATGTACTTACTCAAAAACACGTTTAAGGTATCCACCGGGCGGGATTATCTGACCGCCGCAACTTTGCAAACTTTCCGCTATAAAAGCACAGACCCCGCCATTTTTACTCGAGATCTCCTTGCAAATCTTTCCAACTTCATCAGCGTACATTTGCCCTAGTATCTCTTCTGATTGTGAATCTTTTGGATATGTGTACTTTCCACGGTATATATCGGGGACCGGCGCCTGTGTTATAAAAACTAAATTAATAATAAAAAGTAGGTTGAAAAATAATGAATTAAATTATAAATATTTTAATACTTTACAATTACATAATATAGGCTGTGAGTTACTAAGAAATTTAATAGCTGAGTCTGATTATTTCATATGATTATTATATTATAAATGTTTTGGTTAATTTTTAAAGGAGACATAAATGAATGTGTGCTAAAGCAATAAATTTTATTATACTATATTTCTATTAAAAGTGTCTTGAGGAATCACTAACTAAAATGTCAAACAATTTTGTTGCTTTTACTAATAAGTACTTCGGCTCATGCTGACCTCGAAGGGTTTTATCTCAATAAATTCGACGGTTCCGTGGCGCAGTGGCCAGTGGCTTAGCAATCAGTTGCTGCGCTGGGGGCCGCGGGTTCGAATCCCGCACGGAACAAGTATTTTTATGGCCTACAAATAATTGTTCCGGGTCTGGATGTTTGTCCTTGTGCAATTTATGTTTGTAAACTGCCTCCACGCCACAGGAGAAAATCCTAGTGTGGGGGTAACGTTTTTTTAAAAAAGAAAAAAATTATGTAAGATGTATATAAGTCACATTAGACGTAAAGTGATATGATATGAACTAATTTTATTTTTATTATTTGATCCATAAAAAGTAATTTTATTTTCGTTCGATGTGTGAGGTTAAGTGGTATGTTACGACCGAATATTATTTGATATACTCTAACATAACATGAATACTAATATAATAAATATGTTTTAATGGATAGATTATAAAGTTTACGTATGAAGGTGCGATTGGCGAGAGTTAGGTACTTGGCCAACTCACCACGTGAACCCACTCTGGCTTCTCGGGCCCTCCTGGTAGGTTCAGTTTGTAGGGAGAGACATCAATCATAGACGTAAGGTGGCCATGATACGCGCTGCAACAAACAGGCGCTAGTAGCACCTAAGAAACTTCGAGCATCTCGAAGTGACGCAAAAATTCTCTCACGCTCCCATACACACATGTTGGCGAAATTGTTTCAATCATTAAAGTATTTATTACTTGAATAAAAAAAAATGAAAATAAACTAACTTCTGTGGACTTTGATACGCGCAACATTGTTTTATATTCGTTTATTCCTATTTTTTTTTTTTTTTATAGAATAAGAGTGCTCTGGTTCCTTTTGGAGTTTATTAACATTAACAATTTTACTTAAGGTTAAAGAACCACAAAAATTTAAATAAATAAAATAATAAAAAGCATAATAATATTTACATGGTCAATTTACAATAAAAAAATTAAAATAACAATACACAATACCTACAACTGTACATTCTTAATAAGGACGCTGTCACCGAGTAAAATTTTGAGATGATTAAAAATATGTGGGGATTGCAAAACAAACCTGTCTCTGCTTAACTTCCTGTTATACTTGACATCCATTTATTTTCAGCGCCAACGACCTTTCGCGTTCTATCACACACAGTTCATCTTCATCATTCAAACTTGTTATTTAATGTAATAAATTTAAAGTAGTAAAATTATGAAAACACTTACTGGTCCAGAGTAATAACATCTTTCTTCTTTGTGTGAATTCTAGCTAATCTTAAAGCAAGATCGTTGGCTTCTGAGCCAGAGTTTACGAAGAAACAGACGGAAAGAGGTTCCGGCATTGTTTTTACAAGCCTTTCAGCCAATATCACCAGCTCATCATGAAGGTAACGATTGTTTGTTGATATCAGTGACATTTGATTTCTGCCTGCTTCCACAACATGGGGATGGCAATGGCCCACTGCGAAATAATAAATATATTAAACTAGCTGACCAGGCAGACGTTGTTCTGCCCTTTTCGACGACCCTCCATTTAAAAAATCTTTAAATTCGTAATAAAAAAATATTGAGTGTCACTTATCAGGATAAAAACTATCCTATCTCTCAAGTTGGACCAGACTATAATAATAATAATAATTTATTCAGATAGAAAAGTGATACAGAGTAACAGTCAAACAATGCATCTTACTGCATCTGACTGCACAGTGTGCAAAATTTCATTGAAATCAGTTCAGTAGTTTAGGAGTTCATCGCGGACAAACAACATGACACGTAATTTTTATATATAAACATATGTCAAGCCATTAAATAGTTGGATACATTTGAAAAGTACAAATTAATATAATAAAATACCGTTACATATCCTATCAAAAGTCCACTACTGAACAGGCCTTTGCCATAGATTGCCCCAGGAAGGAATATTTGCCATAGTTAGCACGCTCGGTGGGCGGGTCGGCAGCCGGTTTTTTGTTGTTATGAACATGACAACACGAGGACAGTATAAAACAAAGCAAACGCAAAAACCAATAACTGAATTTAAAAACTTACTTTCAGTTAGCATTCGAAATCGGACCGTGCAAGTTAATAGATATTCTGATTGCTCGAACACGGGGTCGAAAAAACTAAATGTTTATTGTACATATATTTTGTTAGTATGTTGACAGACAAAATAAAGTCAGTGCATTCACAACAGTTAAAAACAAAACCCACTATATTGATCATATAGTTTCCAAGAAATAAAGATGTGTTGAACACGTGGAATATAATAAGTAATAATAATAATATTAATAATAATGTCGTCCATACCGAATTTCGCTCACGGCGGCCAGCCTCAACGGAGACTAGCCATCAGCGCAGGACAGGATTATAGTGCCCAAGTGTATGCGCAAGCACAGGTGCACTCTCTATTCCCTAGCTCTTATAGCCCGATGGGACGGTAAAACTACACGACCGGAGAGAGATCAGGCGCTGGATCAACGGCTTTACGTGCTTTCAAAGAGAGAATTTCTTGACGGAAAAAAACTCATTAACTGATTTTTTGGCCCGACCCGGGATTCGAACCTGGGACCTCAATCGCGTTTACAACCACTAGACCAACGAGACATTCGTGAAAAATATAATATGTACCTACTATATAAAACAAATATTTACCATGTGCAACATTATTGATACAATCTAAGTATCTTTCGCCCGTCTCGTCATACATGAACTGGGCGATGCCCCGAACAATTTTCAACGGCGATGAACGGAAGAACAACTGGCAGGCGGCTCTGTGAAACAAATTTACCGTTACGCAACTCCACCCAATACCCGTTCTACTGTAATGGATGAGGTACCATTATGGGTAACAAATCAACACATGCGGGCGCTTTCTAGGCTTGAAAATTCCTTGTCAAATGGTTTACGTTTAATTCTGCCATAAAAGATCAACACTCTCCTAAAGAAAACGTTTTAGTAAAAGGAAATATTTACACATACTAATACATGCTACTCACCCCACATGTTTTTCACGTAACCTAATTGTTTCAGATTTAGGCATAGACTGTAAGTAAGCCATTTTTCTGTTTTAATCTGAAAAGAAAAGTTAAAACTTTTATACGCAAGTAACTTTTAAGACAAAATGAATGTAGAAGCAGTTCCTCTCAGATTGTATGAAATGAATTCATCCTAATATTTATTATTCTTAAGTGAACCAATTTCGAAAATCCACTTAAATATAATATCAACCTATCATTTTTATACCCAACCATCGTTTTAAAATTGAGCAAATTTTTCAAAAAGAAAAATCGTCGCCGCGAGCGAACAATTTCATTTTGTCATTCTAATTCCATTGTCTGCTTGTGATGTAGAACGATAAATTTTTAAAAAGATAGAATAAATCAAACAGACTACTAAGTAATTCTCTAGCGGTTTCATTTCTCGAAGAAAGTTAAAATCGATTTATGCAAATCGTTCAGTTGTCGATTGCAATAAAACGTTGGTAATAAAATTGTGGTTTTTCGTCTTCTTGTATTAAGTTGGGTCTTGTAAATACGGAATTCAATGTCAGTTTGAGTAAAAAGAGATTTAAATGAGAAAGGTCAGTTTATTCTGGTTAAGAATTCATTCATTTTGAATGAATTTTAATTTACTCTTCTGTGTTATTTCTTTTTTTCTAATCGGAAATTAGAATTTACTTACCTGTAGTGAGTGTGTTAATATGCTGCCCTAATCTATAAAAAATAATGAGAGATAAGTACGCGTCACGTGCGGCACCTGTGCAAGTAATGCTGCGACAGATCTCGTGCCAATTGATTTTATAGAAGCAGGCGGGCTGTGCACGCCCTCAGCGGGGCCAATCGCGACGAATTAGCTCAGCTATCAGTGCACTGATAAGGCGCATGATGACAAAAGTCAGCGTCCACGTGAAGCGAATCACGCCGGCATGGAACGAGCGCATGGCTTTTAAGGCGAAGGCGCCTTTCGACCTAGAAACTTGTTAAGTGGAGAATATTTCCTAATAAATTCAAATTATATATTCATGATAATATATTCTCGTATCAGTAGGCGAAGTGTAGGGCGACCTAATGATTTCTTATATATACTTACGTGCTTTTTTTTTAAATGTGTAGGATGACCCCTCACTAGTAGGAGGGACGACCTGCCAAGACATGCAGTAAGTCGATGGATGCAGGTGGCTCAGGACCGTGCTTTGTGGTATTCCTTGGAGGAGGCCTATGTTCAGCAGTGGATTTACGAAGGGCTGTAATAATGATAATAATGATGTTGATGACATAATTAATTGAGATTCCATAAATTACGTAACAATGGTTTATGTTATAGTTAAAATGCGTATATAACGCCGTAATTATAATGTGATAATAATTAATGTATTAAAGTGAAGATATTTAAAACAGAAACCCGTAAACAAGTGAAAAGTTCGAGCGCATCAAACCACTGTACATAACCCCACTACGACTTGTTTTGCAGCCGCTATTAAAGTTTGGCTTCTCGTACGAACGGGGCCATTTTGCTTTAGTTCATCAGTTGGTTATCTTGTTGTTTTTTTTTTGTGATTCTGTTCTGTGTGGCTATTCCTCTAGAAGAAGTAAAGAAGAATATTATCGTGTTATATTGCAATAAGCAAAGTTGGTGCTAGTTCGCATATTTAATCAATTTTGGTTTAACCATGCTTTGTTTTATTAATGATAACGATTAATTACGTAAATAAGAGAGCAAATTGAGCACTCACACTATATTATTGTTAACATTAACCTCCGTGAAATCTTCTTTAGAATTGGTGTGATTTCAAACTGATTGAAACGAAAAAGCGACAATAAAAAGAGACAAACATTTACATCTCTCTGTATATTAAATCTATCTCATCAATGAGATTTTTTCCTCTCTTGCCTCTTACTACACCCATAGGACGATATGGAGTAGTGGATACGCCGCACTTCGGTTTCAACAACAGCTGATGGATAGAGACCCCGGTAATGCTGTAAGGAGTATCCGATCGGTTTAAATAACAAATAAATTGGTAGATTACTCTAAAACAAGTATAAGTTAATCTTATAATTAATAAATAATCTATTACACCTAATAATATTTTATTTAATTATTAATTAATATATTGTATTTTCTCTCGCTTTGTTCTTTTTTAGATCTAGCGGAACTTCATGTAGATCCATTAATTTCCAAATAAGGAAAAAAAATATAAATTTTATTAAGATTCGTACAGAAAACATAATATCTGCTCTGTCCTGGTTTCTTGGTTAGTATGTACGTATCGTTGATTATAATAGCCAAGTCTTATCGCTTGACAAAGCCTCGTTGCCAGGCGGTTAAGGTTTCGCCTTGCAACGAGGCGAAACCACGTGTTGGGATGGTAATATAGTGGACAAAAAGGGGAGTATAAAGTTACTAAGCTACCACTATTCTTATTAATAGATTTTTAATATAACATATGGTTGTGGTAATTATAGGCGAAAGATTTTTACGTTTTGAAGGGAAACCAGGGTAACATATTATTGTATAAACACAACTGAGACCAAACGAAACAACTTTCCATCCATTGTAATAATTATCATCTGAGTGATTGTGACGTCAATGCTAAACAATAAAAGGGGTCGACTAATCAACTAATGTTTGTGCAGAGTAAGTACCTAAGGTTTCTGATATGTCATCCGTAGTAAAAGCATGGGTAGAAGTAGACAGCAGTCGAGTCGCTAATTCGAATCCAATTTTAGTTTATAATTTACGTTCATTTTAATTTATGTAATTCACTAATTATAAATTTTAATGCAACCCTGTACCATGCAATGCTCTATTCAGAAAGGCATAACTCTTTTTCTTTTTCTAAGCGTTATCCTGGTTACTGTCAGGGACCGCTTTCCTACTTAATCCGGTGTGTAACGTTTTTGGTAGTGAGTCCATTGACTCTCATCTGGTTTGGTCTGCCGCATGATTGTGCTCCTACGACAACGGTATCAAGACTTTTCATTCAAACGTAGCGTAAGTTGGAATATACCGGTTTACGTAGAACATATTCATCTACTCACATAATTTCCTAAAAACGTATCTGCCCTTCCGCAAGCAATGTATTCATTATTTGCCACATATAGTTTCAATATACTGATCTAGAGCCTTTCGATTGATTCACTCTTTGATCTGTTTTCTTTATCTCCGTCAACAAGTACGATCTCATTCGTATAAATAAGAGGATTAAGAGGTGACTTTTTGATATCTACTATATTGACATAGTGCACTGCGTTTTATAACAAGACAAAAAGATAAAGAATTGCAGACCGAACAAATGATTCGGAATTGTGGAAGTACATGCGGAATTACATCATAAACTACAGGGTACCAGTACCCCTGGAGAATCCCTCGCTGAGCATCCACGACCATGCTATTCCACTCCTGAGCGTGGGTGCTCAGGCTGCCCCGCGTATTCTGGGGGGGGGGGGGGCAAAATTCCGCTCAACACAATAACTGCTCGGGGCAAACCGAGCAACAAGACCAAGGCGACCCCTGCCACGCTATCCGTGAATTTATGCAATATCAGGGGACTTCACTCGAACCTAAACGCCGTCCACTACCATCTCGAGACTGCGAAGCAAGCCTTGCTCTTTCTGACCGAGACGTAGGTGTCCTCTCCGGCTGATACTTCGTATCTCTCCTACCCGGGGTACAAATTGGAGCTCTCCTTTTGCCTCGGACTGGAGTTTGCGTGTATATCAGAGAGGACATCTGTTCTCGACGCCTTGGCAGTCTTGAAGGTTCGGACCTGTCCATCCTTTGGCTACGCGTAGACAGCGACAACCATCCGCGCGTCTACGTGTGCCTCTATAGGTCCCATAGCGGTAATGCCGAAACAGACCGACTCATCGACCACGTCCAAATGGCTACAGATTCCTTGCTACAACAGGTCCCATCTGCAGAGATCGTGATCCTTGGCGATTTTAACGCCCACCACGCCGAATGGCTCGGTTCACGTTTAACCGATCATGCGGGGAGATCTGTTTATGACTTTGCCTTGGCATATGGTCTGACACAACTGGTTACATCGTCTACGCGGATTCCAGATGTTGAGGATCATACACCTTCCCTGTTGGACCTTCTGCTGACCTCTCATCCGGGCGGATATCAGGTTTCCGTCGATGCCCCTCTTGGCTCTTCGGACCATTGTCTGATCCGGAGTGTGGTGCCACTCACGCTCTCCTCGCGGTGGCGTTCTGCAGGTTGCCACCGTGTTTGGCATTACAGGTCGGCGGATTGGGACGGAATGCGGTCTTTCTTTGCTTCCTACCCATGGGGGCGGGTTTGCTTCTCGCCGGATGATCCCAGCGCTGTTGCTGACTCTGTCACTGATGTGGTGCTACAGGGAATGGAACTATTTATTCCATCATCTGTGGTATCCATTGGAGGCAGATCTCAGCCTTGGTTTGGTTGCTCCTGTAAGACTGCTTTACGCAGTAAGCAGGAGTGTAATCAAGCCTGGGCTGCGGCTTCGGCGACTCGGGATGTAAACACCAGCATACTTAAAAAGAAGTATATTTTCGCCTCCAGGTCCTTCAAAAGAGTTATTGCCAAGGCAAAGTCAGAGCACATAGGCATAATTGGCGAGAAAATAGTTCGCCTTCCTTCGGGAACCCGTGCATTCTGGTCTCTCGCCAAGGCTGTCCAAGGGAATTTCTGTAAGCCATCACTACCATCTCTGCACAGGGAGGACGACTCACTGGCCCACGACGCAAAAGAGAAAGCCGACCTTTTAGGATCCCTTTTTGCGTCCAACTCGACTGTTGATGACGGGGAGAAAACACCGCCGACCATCCCGCGGTGTGAGTGCTCCATGCCGGATGTGCGGTTCTCACAGCGCTCGGTTCGCAGAGCACTCCTCTTCCTTGACATCCACAAGTCGAGTGGGCCTGACGGAATCCCCCCAATTGTGCTGAGGACGTGGTCTCCGGAGTTAGCACCGGTTCTAACGCGTCTTTTCCGTTACTACTACTCCCTAGGCGTAGTCCCGAAATCATGGTAGACAGCTTTTGTCCACCCGATCCCTAAAAAAGGCGA